AATGTGCAACAAATTTGGTGTTATTAATGTTTAATTATGTTTATTTTATAATTCTATACTTGACCGTGAGGGAGTATTGTTGAATTGCGCCCATATAAGCATGTGATACAAATCATCTTCTTTCGTCAGAAAATTGTTCACTTCAGCCTAGAACTAATAACGTATTAATTTTGAATGTTTTGTCTATATGGTGAGGTAGATGGTGTATGTCACAGAGTATCTAATAAACTTGTCCATTTTCATTACATGTACATTTTTTTTCTACATATACGAGACAACAATACAAATTAGCTATGATGTTTTGGCACAGTGATGGTATGATTTCTGCAAAAATATCCACTTTTACGTATTAAAACGTGCGATGGACAAAACAAACTTCTTGTGTGTTCTATAATATTTACTAGTTCAATGAACTATCGCAGAGTTTAGCTACTATACAGCGAAGTTCTTCTGTTTGCTATACCAATAGTGTCCATGGCAACCATCATATAATTAGTAAATGATTGACAATACAGTATGTTAAAATTATAATTACATAGCACAATGAACAAGATCAAGTGTGTGCGACATCTTACAAACAAATATTAATGCAAAGTATTGTACATATTAACACATTTAAAATTGATCATAATAAATATTACATTGTAAATATGAATTTTCTCCGCATTTCGTTCGATGTTTTCGATCCATGACTAATCTAAGTAAACAACATCATGCTTATCGTTTTCATTGATGGGCAAATTGATATCATGGTGACCATTTCAAAGTTTAATATGGAATTTATATCGGTATCTGCATGAGGTGATATGCTATGTCACTAACTAACAAACATAATTTGGTTCCCGGAGAGACGCACGATCGTCGAACCCTTGAACATGATTTTAACAATAATGGATGGTAATTAAATAAGAAATTGCTCATTAGAAGACTGAACAAATAATTATAAAAACATACCGGGTTTTAAGGAATTATTCCAGAAAGTTTTTTTTTCATTTAACACAAGCTTCCTTAGACGAAAACATTCACAGACCTAATATAAATTTACAAGTATAATAACACTGCTGTGTGATGTTAACTCTTAAAATTCTTCTGCTGACTATTTGTAATAGGAGATACAATGCACTGCACAGCGCCGGGTCATATCAGCATATTTTCTGGATGACATTAGTGTTCATATACATTGCATGACTTTCCATTCTCTGTTGAATAATAAAAAACATGATCAACAGTAATTTTATCAAGAATTCTGTACGGGTTATATCATGTAAAAGTTTCCACACATATACTCACTGATTCGCTTTGTTCTGTGTTATTCAGTCTCCGTATTATCTCTTGATAGCAAGGTCTTGATGTAGGGTCTTGCTTCCAACAGTCAAACATCAAGTTGTAGCTATATATATTCGAAGCAGATTAGAATGACAGTTTATCTCAAGCTGGTTACATAATATTGTTCTACAGTGATTTCAGTCGATACGAAGCATATATACCAAAATTGTATACAGAATTTTATATGTAAAAAAAACATGTCAGCAAAAAAGCTGCTCGCTGATTGGTTTGTTAGATGTCAAGGTTTGGTACCCAATCAATCATAACCTGTAAGTAAATTCACATTAAGCTAACTACAGTAGAGATCCACAACAATCACAACAGTGTGGCTGATGCTTATTTTATACTAGTTCTCCACAGGATTGCAAAACAGTACTGTAGTTATGCTATTTCATATTGGGAACTGTAAAGCGATTACGAGTTTTATTGTAGGAAACACCACAAGACAACGGAATGTTATTAGGCATTGGTCCAAAACAACCTCTCTATGTCATGTGGCGTTAGCCAATCACTTATATTCACTTCTCTTATTAAATTCAATGTCCTAGGCTGGATAAACATGTTCTTACATCATTCTCAAATTCTTAGAATCTGTTGACACTAACAAGTCAGAAAATAGGTCCAGACCTGCTTTACGCATGCAATTATATGGCCAGTAATGATATCGTTTGACTTTCGTCTATGAACAAATAACTGCATTCAACACGGACCCGGATTGACTAATAGCACTGTAAATTACTTGGCTTGTGTATACAGCTTATTAGGCAATACTTCTCTACTGCAATAACGAAAGAGTATTTCAAATGAATTATATATGTGTGTTCTAGAGTAATTAGGAATTGTACATATTTCTTTTATCAAATATCAATGTCTTACATGCTGTCATCACAGTTTCTTGGTTTTGGCATTCGATACCCTTGCTGTAGTTCATGCAATATATCACCAGCGCCCATACCAGGATAAGGTGTGTCACCTAGAAAAACAATAATTTCAATATTAATATTTCATCAATTGTGTTGGTCAACTACATTTGTGAAGTGAAAAAGTGAGATCTCAGACATAGATTGATTTCCTTACCATAGTTAAATATTTCCCATAGTACTATCCCATAAGACCATGTATCTGATTTAGTTGTATAGAAACAATCCAGCAATGCTTCCAGTGCCATCCATCTCAACGGAAGACGACCCTGTAAAATAATTATGTATACCAGTTATACATATATATTATAACACTTCACTTATAGGGTGATTTGTGCTTTGTCCATGAATATTTAATCAACTTACACTGGTATAGACTTCGAATTCGTCTGACGTCATTACAGCAGTTGAAAATCCTAAATCTGAGATCTTACATACTGCGTTATGCCCAATTTGAATATTTTTAGCAGCCAATATTCGGATTACACACTGAAAAAAATATATACAAATGTCAAAATTCGACACAAACATACAGTGTTATTATTCACCAAAGCCACCACGCTAACAAGGAAATTAGCGGCTAATCATCTGATCATTCAACGATGTTAAATACGATTAAATGTATCGGAAATAAATATAATATACAGGCAAATGTGATATTGTTCCAAAATACATCTTTATGCAAAGCACTGCAGGACTTCATCAAACGCAAACATAATATGGTTACTGTAATAATTACTTGTCTAGGTTTATGTTTCAATAAAACTGTTCATGCATTCGCTGCAATTAAGAATATATATATATTAGAAGATAAATATCAATTATAGATGCAGTATGAAGACGGGTGAAATATCAACCTGAAATATTACCTCTTTTTCCTCCAGAAAAAATAAACCGTTTGCAATCTCTGTTCCAAATCTGATGAATTCGTCAATTATTTCGTACTGGTGACTGAGCGAAGACATATTGGAGTGACGTTGTGTTTTACATTCACGAAGATAGTATTGAAGACTTCCGAAAGGCGAGTTTTCAAGCACAAGCAATATTGGTTCTATAAGTATCAAAAATAATAATATAATATATTATTATTCTTATGTCACCGTGAAACCATAAGTTACAGCGTGCCGTAATTTTGCGGTATTTTACCATATATTTTCATCCTACTATATTAGAAAATGTGAATTCCAAATATCGAATGATTATGCGACGTAAGCATCATCTAATAATAAAAAAACTAACATGGCTGCCACCAGATTTTGACCGGGCTCCACACAATAAGTTCACTATTTCAGCTCTAAGCATTTTGCGCGTCGGTCGATAATCCGGCTGTACTGTCACTCACCGTATTTTTTATTCAAAAACTACACACTCTAGACATTTATCAATCTTGTAAAATTCAACATATTATGTTTACATTCGATCTTAAATATCGACGATATGCTCAGACCATAAATCATTACTTACACATAGAACCTCTTACAAAGATTACTTCGTCAAAATCCAATGATAACTTTACTCTGTGTTATTTTGCCAATTTCAGTTACTACTCGCTCGTAAGGTTGTGCGCGTGCCTTATGTGTAAACACTGAGAAATTTCAGACGGTCGTCCAAATATAGTTTACAAGAATTCAAAATCTAATTATTTTAGAAGGGGATATAAAATACGGACAAGCAATATAAATCTTACCGTGCAGTCTTTTACAAAATGTTTTTTATTTTTTGTTTTCATTCGGTTAATAGTCCAAATATTGAATGCTGCCACAGATTTTCCTACTCACAAAGTCATTTCGTCATTGTCAACATCATACTATCTGAAGTCATTATTCGTATATTATTCAATATCGTCCTTAATTTTCGCTGTATTCACAATGAAATAAACGAATCTCACCTCGTACTGTACAGCAACCAATCATTGAGATTATGTTTACATGTACCAGTTTTTTTAAAATATCAATCTCATTTAGAAGACATTGCTTGGCATCACTCTTCATGTCTTCTGCAACAAGAAACGAATGAAACAAAGCAGTTGCTTGCAGATTAAGTAGCTTATGACAGTTGTTTGTGCTGTGTTTGTTATTTAGTTTGGAGTTATATTGAAGTCTTATCATTTGTTTTGTATTTGTATTTATTGACACATATTCACATATAGCAAACGTTGTATGACATTTTTTTTAATATTACAATATTACAACCTACCTTTCAATATCTTCACAATTGAACCAGTGAGCTGTCCATTGTTATGAATGATTTCTGCCGCTATAACTTGTGTTATTGGCCCACTTGATATGTGTTCTTTGAAAGATATGGAAGTGAAGGGAATTTCCCTATTTGAAGTTCTAACATGAATGGAATCAGCTGAACATTTAAATAAAATAGAATAAGTTATTGTATACATGTATTCAAATATGAATGAAGCCAGTTATTTGTACAATCAATCGTGTTATATATAATTTCTTATAAGTATAATACGATATGAAATAGTAATAATATCAACTGTGCACACCTACCTGGATTGCAAATAATCAAATCTTCATATGACGAATCTTCTTTGCATAAACGTGTCGCAAGATCCATATAATCGTTCTCTCTTCAATGAAATGAAAATATAATTCAAATAATATGTGTTATAATTGATATATAATTAGAATTACACACAGTAATAAGCATTTATTGAATAATAGTACAAATTGTGTAAA